TCCATCTCAAATGAAATACTACACAGAGTAAACAATGAGTATTGGCTTTTAAGCACACTTCATTGCACAATTGAACAAATAGATATTTTGGCTTTTTTTTTTTTTGCATATTTGTCCCTTCTTTTACAGTCTTGATAATTACAGATAAAAATGCCAAATGCTTTGTACCTGCTGTCCAATAATTTAGAGATTGGTATTACAAGAAAGAGATGACTATCTTCATTTTATTATTTTAATTACCATTAAAATGATATCATTCTATTCATGGAGTATGAATAACAAAAATGATTTTTTAGAAATATAAAAAATCAATAGAATTCATTTTTTAATGAAAATAAAAAACAATTTTTTTCTCTAAACTGTTCTTCAGGTATTTTGTCACATTTCTATATTAAGGCTGAAGTTAGTTGATCAGAATAGGTAAGATATTATGATTTCCCCAAATGCAGCAAACTCCATTGTCATGATCAACTTCAACCTATAATCTTTCATTCAGTTAGATGGGAGTCTACAGACAAATAAGTACAAATTGGTGCAGAGCTTTGATAGGAGTGTATATATGTGCATAAAATGAGCTGTTATTTTAGAATTCCAGATGGTATAAACAAATTAGATCATAAAAACCTCTTACGGAAATCTGGAAAGTTGTATTCTTATTGACTCACAACTCAGAGATAAATAAGTGCTGATATAAATTTTAATTTGCAGAAATTTAAAAAATTAATTTTTTTTGGAAAAGTTTTCTTCAGTACTGTGGATTGAACCCAAGGGTACTAAGCGACATACCCAGCCATTTTTAGTTTTTATTTTGAGACAGGGTCTTGATAAATTGCTTAGAATCTTGCTAAGTCACTCAGTCTGGCCTCAAACTTGTGAACCTCCTCTCTCAGCCTCCTGAATTGCTGGGATTACATGTCTGCACCACTGTGCCCAACTCAAAAGTCTTTTTCATGAAGAATAATTGCAATGCTTTAAAAATCAAATTGTATAATTTAAATGAACTCTGACATTTAAATTATAAATGAATTGTTTTAATATTGCTCAAGGAAACAACAATGATTTTACACTTATTAGCTTTTTGAATGTTACCACATATGCTGTTATTGTATTTGGATATATTTTTCATAAATTAATAAGTACTTATATTAGCAAGCATTACATTAGAAATTTACAATTCTAAGAAATTTAAATTTGTTTCTTATCCAATTAAATCATTCAGATGAACTTTATTTCAAGGGTAGTTATGTTTTTAATAAACTAAAAATAATTTCTAAGATCTTAAAAATGATTTCTAAGATCTATTGGTACTTAAAACCTTTACCTAATTTAGATTAATTTAATCAGTGATCATTACTTAACTGATATCTAATATAATAGCTAGATCATTTCTTAAAAATATAAAATACTAAAACATGCATTTAAAGTCACATACTACTTTGCCTCTTATTTTAATGGCTTATCTGAAAAGTTTATATATTTGAGTTTGTTAAAAAGCATGTTTATTTTTGCCACATTAAAAAGATATATTATAAAGAAGTATATGGCTATAAAAGAGTATGAAATATATATTCATAAACTTGGTTAATCTATTGCAAAATGATGATGCATAACAGTTTATAATTATCCACCTCATAGTTTTCTCTACAAAATAGTTACTGTAATTAATAATTATATACATGTATATGACTCATCTATGAAAACTTAATATGAAAAATATTTTATTAAAAATACATTTTTTTCCTAAAATATCTAAGTCTTCTAAAATATGTGAGATAACTCTTAAGTAAATTTAAACATTATGAGATTCAGCAAAATCAGTATTTCTCTTGGTCCATGATAGATAATATTTAAAATGGTTTATTCATAAGATTTTAAAAAGTAATATCAAGTCTTATTTGGTGCAGAACTAAAATTTAATTTTTCTTCTGTTGCAGTGACACAATTTTCTTGGAATTTTGGTTTGCTGTTAATAAGGGATCACAACGTTAATTTTATTTTGCTTTCTGTTTTATGCAACTGAAAGGCAAAACATTTTGCATTGGAAAATTTCCCTGCATTTTATATTGACTTCATCAAATCCTTAATTTTTTAAAACATGATAGTGTACAAATTCTTCTCATTGTCATATCAAAAAATAAAGTGAAGACCCAATTCTTGGAGTTCATACAAGAGATACAAGTATAAGTGATTAAAAAAAATATTGACAACAAATGATATCAAGGACATCAGGAAAATGCAATCAACTGGAGTGGAAAAATGGTAATACTACTATCAACCAGGGTAAAATATGTGCTGGAAAACAGTAAGCAGGATAAAGTATAAGAAAATAGAATAATAAGCCAATTCATTAATATAAAAGAATAAATCTATATGTACTATAAAATAGAGTAGCTAACATGTGAAGCAAAATCTACTAAAATTGCTGAAGAGACTTGTTCGTGTAGAACTACAAAGGAAACTGTCAATATGCCTTTTTCAGAATTAGACAGGTAAGAAGATACATCTTCAGATGTGTTTTGTTTTTATTGACTGTAAGGTTTTCAAATACTATTCTATGTTCAAATTCACTACCAATAAAGAATATGTATATTAAATTTAAAAGAAAATATTATAGTATATTCAAAAAATTGTAAAAGATAAAAATAATGATAATACTTTTTGCTACTGGGATGCAGGTAAACATTAACTCCATACCTTACTGGCCAAAATTGGAAGTGCCTTAAGATTTTCACTTAAAAGTTTGGTAACACCTACTATCAATTGTAATTTAAAATGCATTTGCACTTTGACCCATTACTTCCACTCATGGAAATAAGAGCATGCAAATTGCAGCATTAATTTTCACAGAGAAAATAATGGAAGCAATACATAATCATTCCTAAGCAACTCATTGATTGATTTAATTATAATAAAGTACAGGATGTAGTACATTGGTAGCTTTTTGCTTCATCCATTCCTTAATTTTTATTTGGCAAATGAATTTTATTCTTATTTAGCAAATAAAATTTACTATTAATTCATTCATTTTTATTTAGCAAGTAAATTTTATTCCATTTAGTAAATAAAATTTATTATTAATTTTTATTTAGTAAACATTATGTGAAACTCTATTCCAGGCTCTATCAATACAACAATGAACAAACATCTCTGACTTAATTGAATTCCCAGTTGTGTAGTGGAGCAGGGGAGGGTTGATTTGCAAATTAAATATGATGAATTGAGTCAAAGATTCACCCAAGGATTTCTCAGTTAGCCACGGACTAAGTAGTATAAATAATCCTGTAGCCCTTTTTTCCCCTTTACTCTCCAAAGATTATCAACTCCATAGGAGTTTCTTATAATTAATCCAGCATCTTAAGAGAGTTTCATGACATTTCTTGGAAGAAAAAGCCAGAAAAGAAAATATTTATAAATGCATACATTTAACCAGGCACCTTGCCCAGGGATCTTCAAATTATGCTTTGATCCATCTCCAAATCTAGGAGGGAAATTAGTTCAAACTCAAGCTCAAAGGAGAAATTTGATAGCATGCCATGTTCAAGTATAACTCTTGGGGACACAGGTATGGATTTTATTTGATTTTTGTAAATCAACACATAAAGTTCTGGAAGAAATCTTCCCATACCACATATATTTTTTTCAGAATGAAATAAAACCAAATATATTTAGTTATTACTTCTATGAAATAAATGCAGGCTGAAATGCATTGACAGTTGCCAAAAAATTCAATTGATAAATTCAAGACAGATCTAAGAAACTCTCCTACAGGATCAGGATAGTACTATAATTTTTTCCCTGAATTCACAAGAGGAAATGAATGCATAGTCATTACACATCAGAAGACAGTTATTATATCTAAAGGTAATAGCTAAATTTCACTGCTATATTAAATTATTCTAGAGCACAAATAAGATTTATAACTACAAGAGTTTAGGATTATAGAAAATCTCTAAATGGTAAGAAAGCAAACAAATAAGGCAGTTTAGGAAACAGAGTTTATAAATGATTGTGCTGTTTTACTGTATGATTTTGCTAATCTGCATTTTGAGGGTTTCAAGTGAGAGTGTACAATCATGTCACTTACCCTAAGCAATGGAGGTCACGCCCCTAGCATTTCTTTGTCAGTTAAGAAATAAGGGCTCATAATTGATGCCCTATATCCTTTTCTTGCCTTTTAGATAAATTATTTCGATTTGAAAGATTCAGACCATGCTTTGATTTGCTTTTCAGGTAGATTACATACAACACAAGTATTTATACAAACAAAAATAAAATAAAATGAAAATTTCATAAAATTATTCATAACAAGTGTCCTACTTCAATTTGCCATTTTTATTTCCAAGGAATTGGAGGAATTATACAGATGATAAAATTCCAGTCAGAGTCATATGCTTTTATTTTTTTATAAATATTTTTTCAGTTGTCAATGGACCTTTATTTTATTTATTTTATTTAGTGCTGAGAACTGAACCCAGGGCCTCACACATGCTAGGATGAGCCCCAACCTGAGCCCATCTATGCTTTTATTTTGCTTCAATGTGTTGCTTGTTTGATTTGCAGATATTCAGTCTTGTCTTTTCTACGAATCCATTTTGCACAGAGACAAATTAAGATGCCAGCAAAGCACTCTTGTAAAGACTATTTGAGGGAGTTCAACTGTGTTCTTTAAATGTCTACTCCAATATTCTTACTTCTATTTCCCATGTTGTACTTTCTACAACTCTGATAAAATACTGAAACACATGTCTATTCTTAATTTTTAACTGGACCCTAAATGCTTTCTGAGGAGACATTCTCATTTCCATCAATCAAAGTTGATCCAAATGCTTAACTTTCTTGCAAAATACTAAGGAACAACTTGGAAGTAACAGCAATGTTCTGATTTTTATTCAATATTTAGTAAAGGATAGATATTAAAATGTATGATTTGTTCTAAGGGATTCATTGGATATAAATCTCCATCTTAAGATGATAGTATTTATCAAATTTAGAAATCTTACTGCTTCTCTCAGGCCTCAGTAATGTTTTTGTCTTCTTGTTTTGGCTTCCACTTTCATGAAGGGCCTTGAACCAGTCCCGCAATCTGTTGGCCACTTCCCTGAATTCCAGGTCACTGCACGCTGAAAACAAAGGGAAACATCACAAATCTTTAATAAGAATCCAGTAGGATGTCAATGCTATTTCTCCAATTGTTCCAATAGCCAGTGTAAGGTAACAGTAAAAGAAAAAAAATTCACACAGGGACTAATTGTGATTCAGTTATTTTCAATGATAAACCTCAATACATGCTTCAAGCATAAGATGTAATTTAGCAATAATATCTTACTTGATAGAAGAGTATTTTTATTTTTTACACATTTTTATTGGTACATATTTATTGTATATATTGATGGTTCCTCCTGATAGAATACTTGGTTTCAGGATTCCTATTATGAACATCACAAAAAATTGTCTTGATATTTATGTGATTAATATGTTATGGAAAAGTGGTGGGGCACCTGAGATAATGAAGGTTTGAAAATCCAAAATGAACATTATACTTTTATAATTGGCCATTCCTATAATAATATGTTACAAATTAGAATTCCTTGCTAGGATATTCAATATGTGTTAAAATTCATTAACTAATATTGTTTCTATTTAATTTAAGCTAACATATTTTTAAATAGAGAAAAATAAAATCTTGCTATTTGGCATTAGAAAAAAGACTGTAAAATATTTAAGAAAATAAAACTATATTTTTGCCATAAAAAGTGAAGATTAGCAAACTTTGACCTTTGGAACTGAAGTTAGTTTTGTCTATTTTAAAAATTATTGTTTATCAAAATTATTTTAAATAATACATGATAAGCTACAACAAAACCTAGTGTGCATGTGATTAATGTGAAAAGGTGGTAGACGAATGCAAGAATTTGGTACTAAAATGCTTTGAAAATATATTTTTAAAAACTTATTTACCTCATTTAGAGGACAACAGGCATTACAGATCTATGCCTTCTGCATGTTGCAGTAAATAAGTGATTTCCTCAACTGCTAAGTATTCTGTACAAATACAGTTCTTGCTCATTTTGTTGGAAATAATTCATGCAATAATGTCACAAAATGTTACATTATATATAAATTGCCTTTTGATATGATATATGGTATATATAGATATACTATAATACAATGTATGGAATCTAACACAATCAAGACAACTTCTTAGCACTTGAGGGCAACAAGATCCCAGATTTAAAAGACCTGGTACAGCTGGTGACCCAGATTAGCAAATCATAAATTTCGGAATTACTAGAATCAAAGAAGAAGGTCATACATATTTTTATGGGGGAAGGTAACAATTTTTCTTTTCATATACCAAGAATAAGGAATCAGAATGCCATAATCATGCAGGCAGCATGATCATGGAAAAAAAAATATTTCCTATGTCTAAGCCAGAAAATTCAAGTAAACAAAAGAGATCTGAAAACCAAATCTGAAAAATGAACCACACATTTTATCTTTTTTTCCAGAAAGTAATTGGGAAATAAGATATACCAAAGACCAAGGCAAAAAAGTGGATTACTGAGAATAGTTGATAAAATGGAGAAGTGAGGGGTGAAGAGCATTTCTAGGAAGATGGGAAGGGGGATTTCAGGACAAATGTTGTGTGCTAAGTGCAGAGACAGGTGACAGGAGGTCTAAAACTGCCTATACTGGGACAGAGCAATGTACAAAATACATAGCTCTCTATTCACTTCATTGCATCATTCTTTTGCTGAGAAGGAGCTTTTTGAGTCCATCCCATTCATTAATTCATAATTTTATTTGTTGTGCCTTAGGAGTCTTGTTAAGGAAGTCAGGACCTCATCTTATACAATGAAGATTTGGGCCTACTTTTTCCTGTATTAGGCACAGGGTCTCTGGACCAATTCCTAGGTCCTTGATCCATTTTGAGTTGAGTTTTGTGCATGGTGAGAGATATGGGTTTATTTTCATTTTTGATGCACATGGATTTCTAGTTCTCCAAGCACCATTTGTTGAAGAAGCTATCTTTTCTCCAATGTATGTTTTTGGCACCTTTGTCTAGTATGAGATAACTGTGTGGGGAGAAAATTTTTACCACATGCACATGAGATAGAGCAATAATCTCCAGGATGTATAAAAAACTCAAAAATCTTAACACCAAAAAAACAAACAACCCAATAAATAAATGGTCTAAGGAGCTGAACAGACACTTCTCAGAAGAAGATATACATTTAATGAACATACATAAAAAAATGTTCAACATCTCTAGTAATTAGAGAAATACAAATCAAAAGTAGATGACTAAGACAAGTTATAACTGCCAGTCAGAATGGCAGTTATCAAGAATACAGACAATAATAAATGTTGGCAAGGATGTGGGAGAAAAAGCACAGTCACTGATGGTGGGACTGCAAATTAGTGCAGCCATCTGGAAAGCAGAACATTTAGAACGGAACCACCATTTGACCTAGCTATCCCACTCCTTGGTCTATACCCAAAGGACTTACAATCAACATAATATAGTAATACTGCTACATCAATGTTTATAGCAGCTCAATTCACAATAGCTAAACTATGGAGCCAACCTAAATGCCCTTCAATAGATGAATGAATAAAGAAATTGTGGTATATAAACATAAGAGAATATTACTCAGCATTAAAAGAGAATAAAATTATGGCATTTGCAGGTAAATGGATACAGTTGGAGAATATCATGCTAGTTGAAGTCAGCCAATCCCCCAAAACCAAAGGCCAAATGTTCTCTCTGATAAGTGGATGCTGATCCATCATGGGGGGTGGGGCATGGGGAAAATGGAGGAAATCTGATGGGGCAAAGGGGAGGGAGGAGAAGGGTGGAGGCATGAGGGTAGAAAAGATGGTGAAATGAGATGGACATCATTACTTTAGGTACATGTATGACTGCACATATGGTGTCAGGCTACATTGTGTACAACTATAGAAATGTAAAGTTGTGCTACAACTGTGTACAATGAATCAAATACATCCTGCTCTCAAAATATACCTAATTAAAATAAATTTAAAATGCATATATCTTTTCAGACAGAGAAAACAACAAATGATAGCGAAATGCAAAGAAAATATGAATTTTATTGATGAGTAACAGTGGTAAGGTCATAAAAGTTATGCTCCTAATACAAATATCTATACCCAAATCTTTTGGGAAAGGACTTCTGCTCAGGAAGATCTTAGGAAACAAAAACCTACTCAATTTAGAGGGAATCTACATATTTATGCACTTTTAAATATTCATCACATATCTCTGGAAGAATATATACGAAGATAATAAAACTATCTCTACTAAAGGATCTGAGTTAGAGGGAGAAAACTGTTTAAGGGTGTCCTATTTTGGCTACTCATCTCTTTTTCCCTTTGAATTGTGTGCTGTATATCTGCATTGACATTAAAAATAAACAGAACTTAAAAACTGAAGAAAAAAAATGTTAGAGATGCATATAAACCTCCATTCAAAATCTATTTTCTTTAAAGTTTATCCTGAAAGTACACAACCTGTATTCAAGTATATTCATTTAAATTGTTCAATATCATTTGCTCAGCCATACCTAGCAAAAAAGCAAAGTTTCACCCAACAAGGTATCTACTAAAGGTCGAACATTATTTTGTAGAACAGATTAGTATGACATATTTCATTGTGCTCTAAAATCTGAGTATGTGATAGTATTTACTATGTATGTATAATTGAATAATTCTGAAATCTCATGATTTTTGAAATTATTGATAACAAATATAATAGCATTTTAAATAAGTTACCAAATGGGAGATCCTATATCAGTATTGAATATAGAACCAGAGTTTTAGTCTCAATATTATATTGAGATTAAATATTCCGAAAAAGTTGAAATACTTTGAATTAATAATTGTAGTAATTATAATGAATAAAACAACAATGATAAAATGCATACTTAGTGTGATAGATACTTTACATGTATTAATTGATTTAATCATTATAAAAATATATTGCTTCCATTTTAAAATATTAGGAAACTGAGGTATAGAGAACTGAGTAAGTCATCTGAGGTGTGTCAGATAAAGTGGCAAAACCAAGTTTTGAATCCATAAATTAGACTTCAGAATCCAAAGTCTTAATCCTGACCACAAATCACCTCAGAAATCTCAAAGGAAATGAACAAAGCAGCAAGTGCCAATTTAGAACAAAAAAAGTCAAGCATCGCCTCCCGGAAAGCTTATAAACTCCATTTCATAAATGATGATTGCAAGGATGTGAGCTGATCACCAATGCAGGGAGGTTTGATGTTAGCAAAGCATTTTCAGAAGACAGTGTATGACCTATAGGATGTAATTGTATCTCTCTGAATTCAAAGAAATCACAAGTCTTCAGGTCCAATGTTTGATACCAATTAAAAACAGATCAGGGATCTCAGTGAGCAATGAACTTCTGTACATGCCACCACACAGTCCACAGCAGGGGACAAGCCTCCATCCCAATGGGACCAGTCAGAGGTCCCCTACATGTGTCTGACAGCAGCAGTGAGTTCCTAGAGTTCTTTTCTAGAAGAAATCAGTTGATATTATTTTCTTCCTATTTTCCAAAAGGTCTCTCACACAGATTCATTTTTCCAGAAATAATATCTTGCATTTATATAGCATGAAATACTTCTTAATGAGGTTTCAAAAATTTGATTTTAATAAAAAGCCTGGAAGGTTAGGGAGAGGATTATTATCTTTATTTTTAATGCTGTGGAAGCGAGGACACTGAAGTTAAAGGACTGCTCTCAATTTTATAGCCAGTAGTGAACTGAAGCAGTGCTTGGTACTCATTAATCTAATTAAATTTGTAGTTAGGAAGGAATAAAAGAAATAACAAATTATGCCAAAATAATAATAAATATGATTTTAAATTAAAATTGAATAGTATTAAAAGTTGCTTTTCAACCCAGGGTTGTGCAGTTGTAGTCAATTATTAATAAAAGCATGATGTTATATAAAGCAGAAAATGAGTGAAAAAAAGGAGAACTCATACATTTTTTTATACATAACTGTTTAGTTTTATGTCCACACACATTTGATGACACAAAATGTAGAGTAGAGAGGTAAGGATAAAACAAACAAACAAACA